ATTTCATTCATGGTATGAAGCTTGAGTGCTGATTCCCGTGGATCAAAGAATCTCAACTGGACAGTCATACTAGTCTTAGTTGATGATCATGAATGCACATCTATCTATACCTGATACCAAAAGACAGGATTAAAGTTTGGAGTTCTTGGCAAGTACCAAGCCGCATGAATTGAAGACTGTAAAGTAGGTATATGTGGAAGAAGTATGACATTATAAAAATATTAACCTCTTTACAAATAATCTAGCATTTATGACAGTTTGAAAGTTTGACAATTTTTTGATTAGCTCACAATCTGTAATCTATGCATCTAAGGATTTTGAACTTTTATTACTGATCTGAGATATAAGATAGAATGAATCATATGAATAATATCATGTATCAAAGTAAAAAAGAAATAAAGTAGGTAGGGAAGGGGTTTTCTTCAGTGCCATTGAGATCAAGATCCATACATCCAAAGTATCATGACCATATTCAATTTGTTGAATGAATGAATATTTGAGGTTACCTGCAATTTCAATTTCATTCCTCTTAACCAATATGTAGATAAAGCTCACAACCAATCATGAACTCTTCTAGGTCTGTGAGTCAATGTATCAAAGATTGGATTAAAGTCGGTTTTATCATACATGTTAAAGGAATACCGTGTTCACAGATTAAACCAACTTAAACCTCCAAACCCTGCTACCAATTTCGAGGTTTCCGCGTCTGCAGATACAATCCCACTTCACGCGCTTCAGCCCTGATCCAGCTTTTCAATGTAGTCTTCAAGCTATTTGCGCCATCACCCCCATCTCATCTCCCTCTACACATTCAGCAAATCACACTTACATCCGGAGGTTTACGCCTGTCACACCAATTCTCGATCGATAAGTTTCGATGTTCACATGCCCACGAGGCTGCAACCCGACCTCTGAAAGTAAGTCAAACATTGTTTCCGTTCTTTACCCTCCGACTTGACTTTCTACCCCAAACAAAAACCAAACATGTTTTCATTCCTTTGCGTAATCCCCATAATATCATGTGAAGCACAAACCCCGACTCATATATCCTGAATCTCCACACCTCATGATAGCGGCTTTTGATCTAGCGCAAAGACAGGACTTTTCGGAAGAATGAGTGAACTACTCTCTGCATGCGATCACTTCTATCCGTGTCACGCTGTCAAACGAGGCCCATCTTATCATTGTTTCCATTACATTTTCATGGATTTGGCTGGCCCTTATTTCAGACGTTTTCACCACAATCTACCTTTCCACCGGCACACCTCTATTTGGAGTCCATTCCGTTCAAGTTTTCACTCTTCGCACCCACTTTCATGGATTTCGGCCCGGATCCATCGGGTTCTTAAGATTGGTCGTTAAGCATCCCCTGACTGCTTCCTGCGACTACGTGCAGGGACGATTGCTCTGTTTCCGTCTCTGCGATGCATTCAGTCCTATGACCAATCCTGGCCCGATAACGTCAAAGTCAAATGCTATTCCATCACCCATACAAGACAGGTCGTGTGAACTGCTGTGTTCAAACACTGTCAATCATATTGGTGTGTACATCCGCGCTCGCTCATTTCACAACGTTTTGTATCAACACGTGTAATCGTGAATTGTTCTGACGCCGCGAATCTTCTTCACAGCGTGTTCACCTCGCCTACAATCTTTGTTTCTGAACCGATTTCATTCCCACATTGCTGCTTGGTCTCGAATCGTAGCATGCAATACCATCAACTCCAGCAACCCGATTTGTTACCGAGGTGGCGTAAATCGTGGGCCACGAGCATGAATATGTCTTTATTCACGGGAAAGTGGTGCTGTGAGTGTTTAATCAAACCACGTTCCACAAGTTTCAGGTCCCTGGTCTGCTTTGACCGCTCCTACATTGGTACCCATCCTCCTACCAGGTATAAAGCATTCGATCATTTCCGCCATTCAAGCCTGCCAGCCCGTCCCACCGCTTATCCCCACAACCTGCCTCACATTGCTACATCAATACCAAGTGCGCAATTTTTCTCAATATCATCCATAACTCGTGATCACGGATTTGGTCCTGACTGTCATTCCCGTTTTTTCTGATCACCTTTGCTCTCCGCTACGGTTCATACTACACACTAACCCCACGCACGACCCTAGAACATACAAGTGTGAGCTTATGTCAGAACCGTGCACTGGCCATGGCCTCCATCTTTCTGGCATTTTTGCAGTCGAAGAACAGGTGAGGCACGCCCAAATTTAAAGCTGGAACGACCACATGCCTGGCTCATGAATCGTGCCTGTTTAGCTTTCTGAGGAACAAAACTACAAGGTTGAATTCCGCACTTTTTCCACTAACATAATTTGTGGAGGCGACAACACCGACAAAGAGGTTCAGTACGAGATTCGAGCCACCGGTTTCAGCAACAAAGAACTCATGCTCCTGCCTAAGCATGTTTACTTCCTGCGTGGATCCTTTTTCCCTACCAATACCAAGGAAACTTACGATGACGAGCTGTTTTTTGAAGGTTCGGATCGCGCCCTTATTGGTACTGTGGAAACCTTTTCAGAAAGTGTTGCGGACAAAACTGGTCTTACTGGGATTGGCCGTGTGCTAGAAGTTGACTTCTACGTTGAAGATCACATGCAATATCTGAAGTGTAACTCCAATGAGCCTGATAAAATTACCCTATACGCAATCGTGGAGCACTGCGATTTTCACCCCGAGGTAAGTCAAGACCCGTAGTCATTCCCTTTATAATCCAATTTTGATGACCATCTTCTAGACCAAGGAACCGACCTCCATGCCCGTTGAGTACCGTATTCCGCCATTCAAGCATCTTGGAGGCTTGCCTCAAATCGTGAAACCTGGGCGCGAGTGCCAATTCCACGGTCATGTGAAGGACTTTAACGAAGAAACAAATCGCTACATAGTTATTGTACGCACCCGTATTTTTCATTCCATTCAATGTCTGACACAATCATCTCATAGGTCAATAAAGTAGCGCCGACTTCCAGCCATCTTGAGTCCGCGGGGCGTAAGAAAGCTGTAAAAGTGGGGAGTCAGGCTCCTAATTCTCGCCCCAAACCGATCAAGTATGGGATCCGCTCAATCTCCTGCTTTGTGATTAAGTCATGCTAACCCCTTGATCATGTTTCCTAGATTCACCTCACGAGCTGCGAACACACCGTTCAAGTCACCAATCACGGCTTCGGGTTCCGGTTCCAGCACTCCTTTTGGCCTTTCGGATCATACTCCACCATCCGTCTCATCTGGTGTGGAAAAATCTAACCCGGCGGAACCTACTTCACAGCCACCGAAGAAGAGGGCTCGCTCTCAGCCCAAGAGAAAGGCAACCAAGGTGATTGCTCCAGGGTCTGAAGAGCTCTAAGATCATGATTTTGTGTGGCCGCACATTGCCGCGCAAACATCCAATATCTGGCTCTGCGTGTGCTCAATATTGACATTTGTCTTTGGCTTTGTTTGTGAATTGTGCCCCTGCACTGTCCCAAATTGTTGAACCTCGTGCACAGAACTTCTTAACTCCGCTCTCCCTTATCTTGAGTATCCCTTTCTCTGCCTGATGATTGAGGGTTAAGAGCGTTGCACACTCATGCACTTTGTAACACCTTTCCTAACACAAAAATGTCTTCCACATGTTTGTTTCTTTTCTTCCATATCTGATTCATCAAAACATGTTTGTGGCAATCAATCCTGTGCAGCGTGACCCCCCTGTTATTACCAATTTCTGCGGCGAACATGTTTGATTTAGATGACATTGATCACAGAGATAAACATTCTTGATCAAACTACGGAGTATGAGGAGCTATTGTTACGGGTACTCAATATCAAACCTAATTGAGTCTCAAGTTGTTTGACGCTTTAGGATCAACTTGGCATCCGGTTCATTTTGCACCGGTGTGAGTTTGATCGAGGCCACGCCTGAGGCGCTAAGTTTCTTTGATGGAACTTTAGGATTGGTGAGTGCATGTAGAGTTTGCTGACATGATCATGTCACATGTTATACGTGGCTTGATACTCGGTCGTCGTGTCTATGCTTTTGCCGTCCCGTTCGTTGAACGTCCTCCTGACGCGCAAACCTTATACTTCTTTCCATTTCGAACAGGTTTCATTATTGACTTTTTTCCATAGCTCGTTGTCTTCATCTTGTGAAAACACTTTCGTTCCTACAATGTAGGTGTTTGCTTATATTTCACACATATAAGCTACCCATATTTTACAAACATGAAGGAAATTTGGCTTGTGCACCTTGAATTATATGCTTCTTTGTGTTTCGCACATCTTTTGTTATTGACTTTTTGCCATACCTCGTCATCTTCATCTTCGAAAATGACTTTTAAGCCTGAATGATCCATTTGCTCCTCAAAGTCAGGTACAAAGATCACACAACGTATTTGATTTCGATGGTGTTTATCATTAACACTTTCACTATAAACATATATGTATTACAAACTCATAACTCATAACTTAACCATATCGAACACACAGGACATTTACGGTCAAACATATAAGAATACGGCCACATCTTGTATCAGGTGGGAGTAAAGAAGAAATAGAGAAAAGAACTACAATCATCCAAAACAGCTTAGAAGAATCTGCCCACATCTTGTATTGTGGTGTAAAGTAGAGAAAAACTTGCGTCATTTCGATTGACTGCTGAATTGTTTCATAATAAAGAAATACGATAATGGGAGTTCGAGAGACAGAGGATGATCATTCTCGAATCATGACTCCTCCATAGGACATGATCCCGCCCGACGGTTACGGCTATATGGTTCAGACCTGTGGCACGTTTGCTTGTGGCCGCGGCAGCAGCAGCATTGCTGGTGCTTGCTACACAAAGAAAAGATAAGAGACAACACTTTTAGAAGTGTTCGGGTATTATGATTGATACCAGAGTGACTTCACTTACGGGATCCAATTCCAAATCTCGCACCAATCGTTCCATGGGGTTACCAACGGATTGAAAGCTTGGTGGAGAGAGACTTTTGCCTTTGATCGAGAATCTTGATTTGGGTTCACCACCACAGATGGTGAAGACGAGGTAGCGGGAGGGGTGGGGGATGGAGGACTGATATCAATCCCCTTGGTCCATGCGGAAGTGACTGAACGACCAATTTCGAAATACATGGCTTCAATATCTAAATCACTGGAATCTTCGTTTGCAGGTAAATTGGTCGAATCATCTTTCGAAGTCAAGTTGGTCAAATTGTCATTTGAAGCCTTGGATGCGACACTCGTAGGGACAGGGGTGGGTGTGGCCGATGGGTTATTATCATCAAGGTTTTGACTGGGGAAGGCACCTATGGGAGTGAGAAATCGTGTTGATGTTGATATGTAGAGCAAAGAGACTTACCTTGAGGAATCTTCCAATACCGTGTCCATAGTCCACTTGCAGTAAGGATGCATACCGAGTAATGCCTTGACACTGTAGATCTTACCGTTAGTTGTACGGCGCCAGTCTGGGATCGATTCGGCGGAAGTTGAATATTCAGCGCATTGATAAGTACGGTGCCCAATCATGCCACACTTCATGCACTGGTCTTTGCCTTCCTTGACACCCGGGTGGGCAGTTAAAGGGATCGACACGGGGTCACGTTCAGCGCTTCCGCGAGTAGACATGACAACTTCGAGAATCGATCTCGCAGCAGCTGAACTGACGGGAAGGGTCGAGATATGAAGAGGCGTGGTAGGAGTTACGACATCTGAAGAAGTATTGTTGCCGTTGGAAGTGAAAGGTGAAGACATGATGGGATTTGTAAGAATGACTTGAACTTGACGAATTTAGAGCTAATGTAGTGGATGCGAAGTAAAACACAATAGTTGAAGTAATAATAGGGTAGTATTGGTAATGAAAGCGTAGTGTTGGTGGATGGTAGATACTCTGGATGGATCTGGAGCGATGAGAAGAGGGAGAATCGAAATGACTTGCAGCTTTTAAGTCCAAGAGATGACCTTCATCCCGATGATCGGAGGGTGAGAAGCCTTGAGGACGCGTATCGTGGTGACGTGTATGTTTATCAATAGATAAACTTCCTGTTTACGTTGTATATTTGAAGGGTTGCATTGCAGCACCGCGGATACTTGCTCTCATTCATCAAGTCATGTCTCGGCCGTGTTAATATCGCTTGTATCAAATACAAGTGATATCCTATCGTAAAGGATCCTGGCCAAACTCATTGGTCAATCAGCATTTCGGGCGTGTTCAAACACGACGTTAATCTTAATCAAACACGTGTAAGTCAGGCATATGGGTGTTATCCATTTCATTTCATATCGAGTGAGAATGTATAAAATAAAAGGATAGCATCGGAGATTGAGAACAGTTGAGACCAAACATAAAAACTCTGAAAGTAATCACAAATAGGTCGCTTTCAATGGCCAAAAGTTTGGCACGGCTTATGTTGTTGCTTTTGGTCTTGAAGGTTTCTTCAACCGATCGTGCACCAGGGAGTAAAGTGAACTTGAATCCGGCTTCCTCGAAAGTGGCGTCACAAGTACTCCATGCCCAATGTTTCAAGCCGGTCACTCCCTCTAAAGAAAGAAATGTACATATTAGCGGTGACTATGTAGTTCTGATCACTCTGTAGGACTTACTACAATAAGTTGAGAGGGACCCGACCACCCTGGCATGAAACTTGCGGCTATTCTCTAATAAATCATAAGTGAAAGATGTAAAGATACAAGTTCGAGATCACGGAAACCCTATGAAAAACTACCAGGTTGTGATTTGGCCAGCGCTCTGGGTTTTCGACCCACCAAGTGTGCTTGTACTTCTGGTGCGAAGTTATTGACACCATCGATTGCGTATATCTCCTCGACAATTTTCTTGACCCCTACCGTTGAGCGCGTCATCTGAAAGCTATGATCCGATATATGGTTTGATACAGCTACAACAATCATCTCGAAGTGGTTGGATTTGGCGACCGGAATACACTGTTGCAGAGAATTGAGGTCTCAGTCACATTTCTTTATCGGAAGTGGCCAATGAATGCTGCTTACATGTTTCATAAGGTCATCTATATATCTGGCGGCATTACCCTTGTGTTTTTTGAGACTTCGAGGATTGATTACAGTATTTGAACCAGACTGTAGTAGCTGGTCTCGAGAGCGAGACCCAACGTCCAGGCTTGCTGGGTCTTCGTCCATACCTTGAAGGCTGGGCGGATCGATCTCTTGGGTGGCTTTCTTGTAGACATCCTTTTCGGCTTCGGTCAGGCTTTTCGACACCGCACTCGGGTGTCTCATGCCTTCGCCGCTACCAATTCCGCGAGCTATTTCAAGATAGATGTTAGTGTAAGGATTGCTGGTATTGTCCCATACTTCACTCACCGTCTTTGAATATGGCCCTGGCTCTCGGGCTTTGTGAGGATCGGTTCCATCGCGAAGGGCAACAAACGCCAATGTACTTTCCGCTAATGATAAGGATGAGCCATTCTGTCAGTGTATTGAACAACATCGTACAGATGGTTGAGTTCATGGCTTACAAAACTGCTTCGATGGCCGAGACGGTGGTACCAAGTTCGAGGGCTTTGATTGCACCTGGGTCAAATATCGGCTCATCTTCGGTTTCGGAACCGGAGCCATTGTCTCCTCGCTTGCGTTTGTTGCGTTTGTTTTTGCCCTTGGTCTTGTGGCGTTTGCGAGGAGGCTTCGCTGTGGCAGCCTACAACCTGGGTGCCGGTGGGATGTACAGGATGTCCAGTGATCGGGATGTCGGTGGTATTCTAGGTTGAGTGGATGTGATCATCTGAGTTTGAGGGTGTATTTTTGATGGTTTGAGTTTGTATTGAGAGGAAATGAATTTAGCGCACTTAGTGATTTGAACACGCGTTTTCCAGATCAATGCGGTGTGATCTGCGGGTGCACCGCGGCTGACCGTGCGGTGGAGTTTGGTTGTGCCAAGATCAGCCATGCGTGCCTGAGGTTATCACCTACGGACTTGGAGTTTTCAGAAAGGCCGGTACATATGTATGTAAATTTTCCATTTATTGACTCGTCTGTGCGTAGAATCTGTCTTTGTTGATTTCATTTGATCTCGCGTCTCACATTCCACTATTCCTACATCATTATCATCTTGCTCCTACGGTGTTGCCTACCGCTAACGTCCTTACTAACTTCCTAACTTGATAGCAGTTTGCAGGGAATTCACTATACGATTTCGCCTTATCGTAACCGTTGCTTAAATCCGTTTCGACCCACGCTGTGCTTATATCTCAAAATTGCCCAATAGCATTCCCATTTGTAACCTGTCATCGAACTCGTTTGTCCAAGAAGCACTTAATCACTCCATCAAACAGGGCGCGTGGGTTCACTCTGGGTTGCTTCTGGTCACGATTGCATAATGTTTGTTTTTTGGTTTTGCGTCTAACGCACTATCCGATCTAGATCAGTGGGTTTTACTAACGCATGCATTCCTGCCTTTTTGTAGATCATTTAAACAGTTTTCAATCTTGATTTCGGTGAGTCGCCTTCAAAAGCGCTTGATATTATCATTGAACCAAGGTATTTGGGAGGAGCGGAGCGGAGTCTGTGAGCCAAGTGCCGAAAATGTCCATTACTGCATGGCGTGGATAGCCTCTGTACCACTTGAAGCGCGCTGTACTAAGAACCTGGACCATCATTGAGCTTGCACGACTCTGTTCCGGGGCCTCGGGTGTAGACGTATTCTGGTTTCCCATGGACATAGATTGAGTGTACTGACC